CTACTTTTCGGATTTCTTCCCTCAAATAGTGTCCTGTGCAAGGTAAGCCCTTATATAGCAGTAAGGTCGAATTTTCAATATTCTATGACGAAGAATTATTTTAGCCCTAGTAGTCTAAAGCTTTTAATAGTCAGCCCTGCTTTTTTATAAAAATTCACCAAAGGCCGCGATCAAGACTAAGAAAAAAGTTATATATAATGGCTAAGTTCTGGCAGATGTTAACTGTCAAGGATTCATGTTATATTAGTTTCGTTTTTTCGCAGCATCCGATTTAGTAATAGTCACAAGGTAAACATTCCCCTTTCCAATCTTGTAGCTGACATCCTAGGAAAATTTCTCCATTTCCAAGTTTAATGAGTCAACATAAAGTTCTTTTTTACAAATAAATTTTTCTTTTAAAAATGATGGCGGAGTTCGTTTTATTTTACTTGAATTGTTAATATTGAAAATCGGTCAAATTGGGCCCACAGTAGTGCGTGAACAACTCTGCTTTTTAAAAGAAATAATAAATGGGTCTTCTGCTCAAAACTACAGCAGATGAATCCCCAAAAGTGTGCCCATATGCTCCGTGGGCGATGTAAAAAAATGAAAAAAATTGGCCACACCCATCCAATATTATAGTGTATCAAAATGTAATGCTTTTTTTCAATGCCTTTAAGGCGCGCAGAAGCAAATTTCAAAAATCCCATAAATTGTATAAATTCTTGGCTAGTATCGAATTCGGAATGCAATTCGCCAAGTCCGCCTGTCAATTCGTTCATCTGTCCACAAGTATAGTATCTATGGCAAACATTCTCCGGCTCGTAAAAATTTCAAAAGAATTCGAAAATGACCCAACCCAGTGAATGGACGACCGTCCAACGCCCAAATATTACGCAACAAAAACCACCGTCAAGCACCGTCATTTAGGGTATGTTTCCTATTCATGTCACAAGGGGACTGTTCAAAATAACGGAGGAGAGAGAAACAGATAGGAAATAGACGCAGCCTAGTAGATGTGCGTCCAATCAGTAAGTGTTATCGACGCTTTATCGAGTAAGCTACGAGCAAAGTGAACTTTAGCACGCTGAGATTTGAGCCCGTGAGCACAGACTTGTTAGACGCGATTCTTACATACTCTGTATACTTATATTTAAAGTGCTGCGAAGCACCGTCGAACATTAAAGTAAAATATTTATTATGAGCTACGAAGGCATACAGCAGCAATTCTGACTCGACTCTCATCCAATATCCATTTGTAGATGTGTTTCACCATTTCTAACGTGATCACCACACTGGTTCGATCACTACGTGCGTCGTGGCAACTTGCTATAACCTCGTTTAAGTACCGCCACACAATATTTCATTGTCACCGAGAAAGTGACAATGGCTTCGATTTACATAGGAGAGAGGCCCCCCACACGTTACCCATTTTTGCAGACTCATTGAGAGGGCTTACTACTGATGGCTGGTTATTAAACAGATAGTTAATTATCTCGCTTCACAAGGCGCCTTCGAACATAGTAACTTGGTTCTTGGATATCTATCGACTATCTCGCGAATTATTCTCGCATGCGTGTGTTACACTTGAGATCTGAACTTTGCAATAAGCAAACTCTGGAAATAAGCAGATTAGCCGGAGTTTTATTTAGTATTGCAATTTAAACGAATGGTTCGTTTACATCAGCAAAAACCATCTTTAACTGCTTCAAATTAAGTAGTAAAACATGTTGCACTCGGCAAATATTAAATGCATATCTGTTAACAAGTGTCATGTGGAAATAAATCTCACCATCACTATGATGATATGACAGTGACGAGGTATAATATAATTTCTGACCAAGCAATTGTTCTACTACTGCGTGCCTCCCTCCTTGACGAAATGGACTCAGAGTTGAAATGAGAGAGAGTAGCAAAGAAAAAAAAAAAAAAAGAAGAAAAAACCAACAAGAACGGGCTTAAAAGAAAAAGAAGAGAGGGAAAGACGGAATAAAAAGTTTAAATTATAAATAAAACAAAAGTTTTCGCAAATTACTTGCAATTCCAAAAAGTGTTTACTCCACAATCATGGGCTACGCTATGCTTCAACGCATTCATGTATGAAATGTTCATTCATTCCTTTATTTATATATGCATTTAATATATATGTGTTCGCACTTAACGTGCATATATTTGTCTGTTTAATTAACCTTGAGTAAAAGTTTTCGTTGTTTACGATATATTTAGAAAAACGTGTTTACTTAAGCAGGCACTATTTACGTGTATCTCTCTCTCAAAATGAAAATAATAAAAAAAAATTAAAAAAAAAAAAAAAAAAACAAAAACTTACACTTTAAAATGAAAGTTAAATTACCTGAACGTGGTAAAGCGGTTGGGTGATTTACTACATTTTACAAGGTCATCTATCACATATATATATATATATATATATATATATATATATACACACACACACACACACACATATACACAAATAGATATATGCATAAACACGCACGTAACTCATATACATGCATATAAAGAAATAAAAACAGTTATTAAGCATAATGACAATGATAACAATGTTGCTGGGTTTTTATTTCATGCACACACTTAGAAACCAGCTTAAATTGTGACAACAGAGCTGTATCTTTCTCTCCATCGCTCTCCAACCTCTTTCCTTTATCCACTTTCCTCTTATCCATTGCTTGTTCGTTTGCTAAGCACATAATAAGATATTAAAAGTAAATTATAACTAACTTTTGCCTTTTGTGTGGCTGTTGTTGTTGTTGATAAAATGTTAAAGAGAAAAACTTGTAATTAAAAACCACGCACTAATGCTGAGATTACCGCATTAGAAAAAAAGCTAAAAGGAAAAAAAAACAAAAAAAAAAAAAAGAGAAAAAAAAATAGTCGAGGAAAATTAACGCGCCAACGGCAACTGCATTTAAATAGACTGCCGCACACAGTTAGTTTTTTTTTTTTTTTTTTGAATCAGTCAACTACGTTCGACTTCTTATTACAGTCTTTATTATTTATGAATTTCGCACAACACACAGACGTAGAGGTAAACTTGCTTTGCCCTTGTGTTTGTAACATTCAAAAATATTGATATATATATATATATATATATATATATATATTACGTACATATATATTCATTGATGAAGAAAATTAGTTGATTGAAATTGTTAGTCGACTTAAAAAATAGTTCGCATAAACCTAGAATGGAAAGCTTCGGTTGTCGCAGTTTATATCGACAAGTCTAATCCAGCACTCACTCATCTTCAATTCGAAAGTCTATGATATTTCTAGTAACAGTTTACGTAAGCATTTTTTGTATAAGTATCAAAACTCATGCCCGTTACAGATCGCTCTAAGGGGTTTAACGTCTGCACCTGGCTTAATGCCTTAATCAGACGAGTTGCCTACAACCATAGGCACTCAATTAAGTTGAGTGATCACCCCCCAGGGGGAGAGACAATCCCCTAATAAGGGGGCCTCTCTTACCCTGAGGTTCGCAGATAGTTCATTCTGTGTGGCCATATGAACCACCACAGTAGAGTATTGCAGTGGTCTTATTACATCCACCAAGTCTGTGATGAAGTATGTATAGATAAAGTTTTCGCGATAATATGCGGTACGCAGAAGAAATTGGCATAGACTCTTCCATCTTTTATTATGCCAATCATTTTAGTATCACTTTATAAATAGATTTCAGCTTGTCCGCCTGTCGTCTGCAAGTCTCTCTCATCTGTGCAAAATTTTTAATCTGAGACGACACTTTGAACACTGGCATGCGCTAGCTCATAAGCTGAAAGGTTTTGGCAGAAAGTTGCATTGCTATATAAGGCCTGGTTAGAAAAATGTCTTCATATGAATGAAATCTGCGATTTGAATCGAAAATTTGGCCATGTCGGGATCACTTATTTAAACTTGTCCCTTTTAAACGTCCCTTTAACTCTCAAGCTGGTACCGATTCGCAATCGAACATACAAGTCTGAATTATCTAAATGTATTCTTCGGATTTCTCCCGATATGAAGATACCTTCGAGAAGTTAATTTTGATATGGCAACAATGCGTCAAGTTGGATATATTATGACGAAGGCAGGCAAACAAGTGTAGGATATTTCATTGTCGACCCTACTTCGACTATAAAGTTTTAATTTAGTTCGTTTTATATATGTGTAGTTCTTGTTAAATTCTTAATTTTGGATTATTTTAGGTTAAGTGGTGCTGTGCAGGATGTTTAAATTAAATTGACTATAACATTTAAACTTGATTTAATTGCGTTTGTTGTAAAGGAAGTGGATAAAGAACATTCTAACGTGTATTGGGTTAAATTGAAAGCAAAATGAAATTAAAATTTTATCGCTTGTTGCGGGCATTTGGGACCATTTGTAAGGCCCGACATCCTGGAGAGTGTTCTTTGTGCCTCCAATGTCTATGTTGTGGGCGTGCATGTTGGCACAAAGCATGCCATTTTTAAGTGTCGATTCCCAATCGATTAGCACATCTTTGTACTAAAGTCCAGTTTTTTATTTTCTTAATTTTTGACTGTTCGTCCGATTTCGTATAGATCGTGGGTCAAATTGAACCATTTAGGTAAAGATAGGTATATGTTGTCGACATTTCAAAAATTATACTTATGTAGAAAGAAGAAAGCGTACATTGTACTTGGGTAGGTATTTAAAGGTTTTTTTATGTAAGCAAAAGCCACCAAATTGAAGCACGCGCTAGTTCTAGTATTAATGCCAGTAAGCAATATGCGTTTTCGTGTTCATTTACCCAAAGTTCAATATTGTGAAGATCATCTCTACATCGTAATATTAGTTGTTTCAGGGCATTTTGCTTTTTGATTTCTCCGGTTACCAATTCGTGATGCATTTTAGCTAAGGATTTGCACTTGAAAGCGAAATATGCTTTAGATGATTGACTTTAAAATTCTAAGATATATTCTTAAGAGTTATGAGCATGAGTTTAAAAAAAAAAAAAAGAAAAAAGAAATTAAAATACTTAAACTTTTTCTTCTTTGTTGCAGATTGAAACATAAATTACTTACGTATGAGGTAAGTTATTAACTTTGATAAGATTTTAAAGAGTTGCTTCACTTTATTCCACCGCACATAAGTAACGTGCTAAAGCGCCGCCTGTCACTTGGTGTGTTAAAAAGTGTTGACGTACCTTGCAAGTGCAAAACAAGTAAAAGAAAAAATATTTATAGTCGTATAAGACCGATTACTAAATACCCTACACTACATTAAAATTTTTACGTTTCATAATTTTGCGATTAAATATTGAAAATTATACCCTATATTAGGAGGGCGATCTAAAACATGAACTGTCATAACCTAAGTGTACAAATATTACTCTCCTTCTCGTTAAAGATTTTACTATTCCTCATCATCTATAGTTTATGCATGGGTTGGTGTCAGAATAAATTTTTATGTCAAATGTCTGTCTTGGGCTTCGACTTTGACTACAAAATGTCCCTTTTCCATATGACGGTTTACTTTTCTTAGAAAGAGTTATGCTCGGAATATTGAGCGGTACTCTCCAAATTTTTCCCATCAATTTGGCATTATTCAGAGTATCTTTGAAAGAGAGTCCCAGCTGCGGTTTGAATCCAAAAATGTTTCAAGAGATTTTGGACAGATAGACCGACATCATTGGACGTCGGTATAATAAAAGAGAGATTCATCTTAAACTCTTCTCGATGTTGCATACATTCACACAAACTTAATATACACCATAACAGCATAAGTCGTGTAGAGTATAAAAATGTCAAAGACATCCGTCCACAAGTCGATCGACCAGGTTCTTTCATACAGAAATGAAGGTAAACTCTTTATAAATTTTAAATAACTCTTTGATTGCGGGGAATGAAAAGGTTTCGATAACTTTATCGAAAATGTATTTTTGCCTTTTCTTTTCATATTATATATGATTTTTCTTTCTTCTTCGTTGTTTTTTTTTTTTTTTCTCCTCTTTTTTTATTTTCTAAATTTATTAAATCAATTTTCCAAATGAATACCTTGAGATTTCAATTTTACGTTTTTGGTTATTTGCTTTTCGTTGTTAGTTTTGTTACTGTTGTCGAATTAATTATATATTTTCACTTTTCATAACCATAAACTAACTTTTATTGCATTTCTTTCGCAAAAAAAAAAAAAAAAAAAAAAAAAAAAAAAAAAAAAAAAAAAAAAACTGTTTACTTTGCTCTGATTTCTGAAGCAGTGAAAACTTATGAAAAATGATAGTGCTGGCATTAAAGAAAAAGTAATTAATTATTTAGAGCATAAAATGTACGTACATACGTATATATTAGATTGTCGGAAAAGCCCTAACATATTGTTATATAAAATTCAATGCTATCTCACGTGCTATCCCCAACATTCTTTCAATTACGTTAGGCTTACCATTCGATTGCGAATATCGCTTGACGACGTTATTTACGAAATTAGCAGAACTACTTGGAGAATTCACGAATAAAACTTTGTTAACAACACATGTTTGTTTTATTTTATTTTTTTTATTTTTTTCACTTTTATTTAATGTGAGCAAACAGTCCGGGGGATGTCGCCTATGCATCTAACACACCACGAGCGAGAAAGAAATGATGGAAAAACGGGGGAACGAGGAAGTGCGAGTTCATTGACACAGCGTTTGTTATAGCGTTTGTTAAGACCAAGTATAATCATCGTATCCTATTAAGATTTATATACGCGAACACCGAGTGAGTAATCGCGACTCTTATCTCTACTCGGCTAGACGGCAGCCCACTTCAAAGCAGAGGAGCAAAAAAACTCGTTTTCTCTCCGTCAAGATCAAGTCGACTCAATCATCGCACGTAATTTATGCTCGCGGTTCTCGAAAAAAGTCGATCGAATACCGATGTTTTTATGTTTTTCTGCTGGGATTTCATCCTCTATTCCTCTCCCGTGAACTTTTGTTATTCATACAAGACGTGAAGGCATATGTAAGCCTCAAAAGTTTTTGTTTGCCTTTTTTTGTTTGCTTTCTAACCACTTTTGAGAAATTTTGCTTTCGCAAGAGTTACTTACTTTCGATTTGAGTATTTTCTGGCAAAGGAAATCAACAGAATCGTAAAGCATTTTGATTGCATTATGTCACGCAAGAAAGTGATCTCTCTAGACTCTATTTAATGTTCCCACTATAAATTCTTAAGAAGTGTAAGACGTCGTACGCTCTCTTTCCCATTACATATTAGTTTTCTACCTCAGGGTAATTATCGGATGAAAAGAGAGTTAAAAGTCAAAAACTTTAAATATTGACGAAAATTGACATATGATGGATTGTGTATTATTCTCTTTTCAGTTACATATTAAGAGCCAACATAAGCAGGTGAATGTCTACTTTGTGGATAGTTCGGTTCTCTCAATATTCAAGTCACTTAAGGAAAATCGCGACTTTTTCATAGACGATTACGAGAATACGAGAGTAAGACACGCAGTAAGAAGATTCATTGAAGATTCCATCTTTCTTTTTGCTTTGTACCGTAAGATTTCATCTGACTTTTTACGAAGCTATTATTTCTTTTTCAAATTGATTACGAACGATTATGATTATGAATTGTTAAATAGCTCGACCTGAAGAGGGAATAAATGCGTTATAACTTTTTCGATAGGCCACTATAGATATATAATTGCTTTACTGCTAAATATCATTATTAGTAAATTGAAGCATAGGTCTCGGGCAAAGGGGGCAAATAATGAAGAATAAAAATTCTGTATAAATTCTTAATAATTTCTTATTGAAAAGAGTTTTTCTGTCGTCTGATGGTTTTTCTTACGAATTCTACGACATAAGATATAATATACATAGCACAGGATATTAATATGCACTAAGCAATTTCTTTGCCTTGCAAGTGCATGCAGGCGGAGATAGTTCTTTCGGTATATGTCAGTCTATCAATATGCAAATGTAGCATATTCCTGCTGTAGCATTGTTATTGACATTCGCATGTCAACATATTCTTTAGCATTATGTATATTTTATTTTTCTAAATTAATTTCCTGAACTGTCAATGTTTGCTTATCAGTTTCATATTTGCCTATAAAATGATTTTAATTTAATGAATAATAAATAAAATTTTTAATATTTTCTTTCACATTCATTATGTCTAACAATCAGAGCTCAACTTTACCTTTTCTGACTATTGATTACGTTACATATTGCTCCCCTAACGCCCTATGCGTTCAACTTAACTTTACTCTCATCTCTGGCTATCGTGAGTAACTTACATATCCACACGAAGGATATATGTATGATATTTTTTTTTGTGAAAAAATCCTTGCAGATTCCGGTTACGAACAAACATTTGTATAATAAATGAATTTCTCGAACCTCGAACGAAAATTAAAGCAAAGTGTAAACGATGACGTATAAGTTGACTTGTAGGATTTTTATAATGACCGCCATTTCTTGTTCGACGTGTATACGTATTGTACGTATTAGTATTGGTAGTGGCGGAAAACATATACGCTCCATCGAATATTTGTAGTCCGTGCTAATGATGTCACAAAAAATTATATTCTTTTAAAAGGAGGGATTAGCTAAGAGTCTCTTCCCGACAGGTTTATCTCCTCTTCTCATTTTAACATCTACTCTGGGCTAGGTTGAATAATCGAAGCATGAATTAAGGAACGATACAATTACCCCGGCAGGTAATATTCAGCATCTGCAGATGATGATGATTCAAATTTATGGTCGTAAAAGTCGATCGTAAGCTCCATAAGCAAATATATTTTTCCTTCGTTCGGGTAATAGGTTTGCCGTCCAATTCGTCTAATTGGAAGCAATTTTTATTTCAGAAATTTTGAAAAGATGATGATCGGCTTAACAGCGTTTTATGTGATATCACAAATTTTCGTTTAACTAAGCGTGCAAAATGCGCGCATGCGTAAATTATTATAAACATTATTATTATTCATGATATATTTATTATAGAGACTTGCCTCAGCAAACTAATTCACTACAAGAAATGAATTAAAAACGAAAAAAAAAGAAAAAATCGTTTACAGAACATTCGAGTATTTCTCATGTTAAACCATAAAATTTATTATTTGAAAGAAAATAGAAATGTGTTAGTATATTCATATATATGTATATATATGTATATATATATATATATATATAAATCGAAGAAATATAGAGTAAATAAAAGAAAGAGTTACATTACTCTATCGTTGTTGTATGTGTAGAGTTGTTGTTTTTGTTGTGGTTACTGTAATGAAAGTAAACACATAAAATAAGTTTACAGATGGTTAAATTTGTGCAGGCGTACGTATGTGTAAATAAAAAAAATATTTTGTAAGTTTTTAAAAATCGCCTCCTCTATGGAATGAAAATTTATTATAATTACACTTTTTTTGCGGTATTTATCAACTAAATATGCATATACATATATATATATATATATATATATATATGTATATATGTATGTATATATATATGTTCGGACCATTATAGCGAGGTTCGCTTAAAGAGACTCTGTCTAGTCTCTAATTAAAATTCAACTACATATATATATATATATACATATATACATACATATACATATATGTATATATAATTAATTTAATAATTTAATTAAATAACAAAGATGAAGAAATTATGAAATGAATGGAATAAGTGTTTGAAGAATAAAATAAAAAATATTTATTATAAGGTGGAGCGGTGTGTTGGGGGGGAATAAAGATAAATAATCGTTAATACGTTTCCTTGTTTATTACATGATAATAGACAAATGTAAATAGATCTGTCACTCTTCATTAATAGTGGTAGGATGCCTTACTTGATTATAAATTATATTGTAATTGTTAATCTCTTTAATTTCACTCTCTGCTATGCCAACCAACACTTATCTCATTCATTGGCCATTATAAACTTATCTTAACAAGTATTGCGTCGTCTCTATAACTGAAAGATTTCTACTACTTTTTGCGTCAAAGATAGATAGAACTTGAAAAAAAACAAGAACTAGGTTCACTATTAAATACCTTACACCTCGTTTCGCTTAATACAGTTGTTGATATAACGACTTTAC